ATTTCAAATTTGTTCTAAAACTAAAGGCCCAATCAGTCATATGGAGATTCTGTTACTGAAATAGAACTGTTTATTCCAAATTGGGACACAAAGGACATTTACAGAATCAGTCATCTCCACTCTTTTAGTCACAGCTTATTTAATTAAGGTATTTTAATTCTCTTACACCCTCAGACCCTCCTGCCTTCGAGGACGTACGCCCTCAAAATAAACCTATTGCCATCAAGCTCCCGGAGTTTCCCTCTGACATTTGACTTGACTTCAGTTATCCTCCTGCTGTAAGGATGTTCACAGGGCTGGAGGGGTCCTTGATTACGTAACAAGCCTGAATTTTATTATGTAAAGTAATAATTCCTATCTAATCCATGTCATTATTTCTGCTATTGCCCAAAAATCACGCCTTTCAAGCAGAGCAGAAGTTCTGACTCCAGTGGCTGACTCACAGTACAGTCCTCAGCACGTAGTTGTGCTGTCTCATGAACAAAATTCTGATAGGAAATTCAGCCTCCAAAATTCCTCCCCTATCAGTTATGAGAAATAATTTACTGATGGCCCATGCAAGCAGTAAATCACATTTTGAGTCCATTAAATAGTAACCATAAAAGGGATAATGAAGTGGAAGGGTCCGTTCTCATAGTGTGGAAGAGCAAGTAAAGAGGAACTTTCTTTTTCACCTTATGATCTTATCAGACTGTTGTACCTCTCTACATTCTGGTTGTACAGTGTCTAGAACTGTAATACAGCTCAACAGTTTTTGGTTGCTTAACCCACACACTTTGGACATGATTTTCTAATATATGGAATTAATTTTAATATAATAAATGTTTACTGCAAAAAAAGCATCAAAGGGGTATGGAAATCTCCGTTTTCTCTCTGCACACAATATCCACAGTGAACATTTTATATACAACTGTGTCTCTTTTTGACATTATTTGAAACAGCTGTCTTTGGTGGCAGAGAAAAGTAATGGAGACTGACTTCAATACGGAGGTTCAGGCTAAATTTGGAAACTATTTAATCTGGGTATTTTAATTCAGCTATTTCTACCTCTCCCTTCCTCCCAGTTGGTTTCTCAAAGATGACTGAAAGTTAGAACTTTAGGACTTCAGTCTTGATTTAGTCAGACTTGTTCTTTAAGACAGCTTCCTTATCTATGAGATAAGGGTGATGATTAAAATAACTGATTAAAAACATTAATAGGATTATTATCTTCTACTCTACACCATAGATCTTACAGATCAGTTTTAGAGCTGCTCACCAAGTTAGAATTTTACTTCTCCCATTTTTTGTACATGTCCATAGCTTAGCCTTGTGATACCAATGTGTACTTGGACCTGGCAAAGTGAAGAGATCGGGGCCTACTCTCCTGTTCTGCTCAGTGGGGCCTTTTCAAGGCAAGAGAGTTTGTCTGGGCACACTTCAGGGCAAAACCTGCTCTCTAAAAATAGCAGTTATACCTAGGACCCAGTAGAAATAAGGCCTGTTATTATGAAAAGAATATTAATAGCATAGTTTCTTCAGGATTCTCCTGGGATGAACAAAGGTCTGAATTCACTGGTTTACCTCTTCAGATTTTCAGCAGAATCTTCTAATTCCTCAGATTCCATGTGAAACACACTGGAAAATGTATCCTGGAATACCGAGAGGATATTTCAATACACAGGTCTATAAGGCTGACATAAATTAGAATAGTATGATCCGTGAAAACCCTGTTGCAGTTACCAAGATCTATTCTGTAATAAACACAAGTGTAAAATTCTTTCCCTTCATTTCACATCTATACAGGATCCTGCCACAAAGACATCTTTTGGTACAACTTCAGGTATCGTTGAAGTGTCTTGAGTCTCTACTGATGACTCTGAGAAGAAATGCCAGCATTTACAAGCCATGCCAAATTTATCTGTCAGCACAGAAATTCTTTGACTACACAAAGACCAAAACCTCCCGAGTCAACACCCAGCCTGAGCAGATGCCATAAAATTAAAGACTGAGCATGAAAAGATGACAGAACATACTATGGGTCAGAAATCCTACAGAGTCAGGGTGGAGGGAAGCCCAAACCACTCCCAGGGAATAAGCTCTTCTGCCTTTAGCCAAAAAGCCACACTCACGGGACAGTCTTCATCCACTATGAAGATGGTACACCTCTGCACTTGCATGAAGGATATTATAGTGGCAGCTATCTTCTTCAGGATTACTTCCAAAGACTGCTGCTCCTCAAAGATCAGGCTGGCAAGGTCAAGAAGCACCTGGGGAAAAGGCCTTTTGTGAAATTTTGACTAGTTGTGATTTATGCAATAATTAGCATTACTACTGTCTTTGCGTCTTCTCTCCCCTGAATCAAGGAAGTCAGTGTGTGTGTCTGTGACCAAAATTAAATATTGGCTCTCACACAGACTGCAAAGTAAGTGAATAACAGCCAGTTTGATGCTTTTGATGGAGGAAATAAATAGCACAGATGGCTGGCTGATGTTTTGGGTCAGAGAGGCAGAATAGATTTAGGCATTAACAGGTCATCAGATGAAACCTGAGAAGTCCAGGCAACACAGTTACTTGTCCTTAGGAAACCTAATGATTTCCTATGGCTCATGTGTGCATTCTGAAACCAGTGATATCTACATTTCTTAAAACTTTGGAACACAATTACTGTCTGTTGTAATTCTAAGCAGATCCTAATGAACTCATTTGGTGAGAGCATCATTTGGATACAGCACTTCAAGGCTGCTGCTGGAGGACTCGGCTGCTCAAATGTGCTCCTATTCCTTTTTTTTTTCCTCACATGAAGCACGAAGGCAATTCGAAAAATTAGCCAAATTTGCACCGGTTTAGCAACACTGAGGGTCACTTGGACACCCAGACCCACCGGGAAAGGGTTCCGTACCTGATTGCGCCTGTTCTCCAGCAGAGACGTCTCGTACAACTGCGCGTTGTGAAGGACAATTCCACAAAATGCCAAATAGGCGGCGAAGTCCTGCAGACAAATGAACATCAGCACCTCGTGGAGATGACGTCCCACAGTCAAAGATAAGCTGCTGCAATGTTTTGGTTCCACTTGGAAGTATTAATTGATATTTTTGTTGGTTTTGGCAACCACACATTCAGGGTCTGGGTTTTTTCAGTTGCTCCTAATTTGTTATTTCCTCAAGAATCCCTTCTCCTTTTGTTTAAACTAATGATCTTCGCAGGTTATCTTGGTGCAAGTAGGATTGATAAGACTGATATAAGAAGCAGCTCAAAGGAATCAAGTCATTTTGCAGCAATGCTTATTTTATTTAGAAAACCTGAGCTCAGACAACTAGCCTCTCTCATTTTGGGCTATTCCATCTCTTGGAAAGGGGAAATAAAATTCTGCTAACATAGCAAACCCACAGTTTTGCCCCTCTCAATGTGGGATTAATTCTGATATCCTGCAGATACTCAGGCTGCATTTTGTTTTAAAGGGGGAGTTTTCAAAGAGAAAGGGTGAATTCTGATTCTTTTATTGCTGAGGATTAAGTCACTTCTTCAGCCTGAGCACAGCCTGGCTTTTGCCAAACCAACCTGAATGTGAAGTCCGGAAATGTCTGGAAAGCAACTGCAATGGGAGAATTAGGAATCAATTCTACTGTCTGCTCTACTGATTATCTTAGACATTGGTCATAATTTATCCAAAGCTTTTTCTTTTCCTGCAATTGCTATATTGAGAAGTGACACAGTATTTGAAAGAGAATCACTACACAAATTTTAATATTCAAAATATGTTTGTTGGCCATGCCAGGAGAGTCAGAACCATTGAATAAAAAATGATGTCTCTTACAAGTTATGAAACTGTTTTACAATGCATTTCAGGAGAGCAAGCCTGTGTTTCAGAGACAAATGACAGATAACATCGCGATCCAGAAATCAAACTATTCCACATCCACATTTCTCATGGCCTCAGAAACAAAGACATTTGCAGTATTAGCAGGAGTTTTTACTTTTTTGAGAAAAATTAATAATTAACATATGCATCCCCCATCCCCCTGGGAAAACAGAAGGGACAGAAATGGATAAAGCTTTTATACCTTTTCATCTTGTTCAGTGAAGGTGCCACCAATTCCAGATTTCTTGTTGATTGCTTGAGCCACACCAACAACCTAGAGTGTTCAAAATGGAGCAGTTAGGAGTCTGTCATCAGATTGTATTTCTAGGCATATGTATAGAAGATAAAAAGTGATCATTACAGGTATTTGGTTGACTATTAAATCGAATTGTTAGTATAATAAATGTTTCCCACCTTAGCCTTTCTGTATGTTTTCCTTCCTTTTGAGACTTTGCAGAGTGTTATTAATCTGACATAAAGTATAGGCAAAGCTTTTACATTTTTTCAGATTTTTTTGGCGTGATTACAACAAGTGATAGAAGAACTGCAAAGAACTTCCTTTGTTTGAGTCCAAGTAGTGTAAAACCAATGCAAGGTGTTAGTGATGGTATTTTTTCATCTCGCTTTTTTTGGGATAAGCAATATCAGAAGAAAACTGTGTTTGGTGGTTAAATGTTTAAAAAGTTAACTGTTAATCATTACATTTGTAACTGCTAAACTGATAGAAGGCATGTGGGTTTATTTTTGTAATGGAAAAGAAGACAATTTACTATCTCTCAGCCTCGCATTCCCAAAATACTGATGTTACAAGCAAGGTCATTGTTCTGCAGGATGAATCGCTGCCAACTGTGGGCTCAAAAATGTCTGTCTGAAATAAAGCTGAACTGTCAGCTCCCTTCCACACCACCCAGCTTTTCCCACAGTCACCCTCTCATTCACTTTAGGGAGGAATATTTGTTATCCAGTGAACTTCCTTTCTGTAGTAACAATTTACCACTAGTCTTATCTACTTCCATGGCAGACTTTGAATAAAAGCAAATCCTTTAAGCAGTCAATATGCTTTTATTTTAACCTACACGTGCAGAGATTAATGGTGACACCTTTTCTCATACCACTGTCTTCTCTGGGTATTGATTTAATTTATTTTATTTTGTTTCAGTTTTGATCCAGCATAAGCTAAGACAACTTTAATAAGGCCAGAGGCTTTTCCAGGCATCCGGAAGGTGAGTGCTTTCATCTTGTGTAAACACATCCCCTCCACAAAAGCAAAGTCTGTAGTGCTTAAAAAAGCTATAAGAAAACAGTAAAAGGACCATATTTATAGAGAAAAAAAAAGGACTATTTAAGCTCCTTTTATCAGCACTGCAGGCTTATGATACATGAACAAAGGCAGGTGTTCCAAGAGCAATGGTTGGTTTTAGAGCTTTGTAAAGGTCTTTCAGTAAAAGGTTTTAACTGAGGAGGGAAGGAGTAATGAAAATAAACCTACTAAAAAGTCATAGTTGACTTGAATATGATAAAAAAACATGCAAGTGCAAACCTTTTTCTTTGTTGTTGCTGTTTCAGTGGCATTCTAAACTTTTAGACAACTGTGTAATGTGTGCATTTTTTTTTTTCATACAAAATGAACAGTTTTAAAAATTAAACTGGTCCAAATTGTGGCCTCATTTATATCAGTACAGATTTCAGTGCTTCTCTACATTCTGTAGGATATGGTGTAGAGACAGTAATGAGAAAAACCTCGGATATTTTTTAGCCATTGGAGTCTTGCCTGCAACCAGGTAATTAGGAGAAGATATAGGGAACTCAAGAGGATCTGTTCCTGTTACTAAAGTAATTTTGTAATTAGGACAAACGTAAATCATGTAGTAACATTTTAGGCCATGGAGAACATATGCCTGCATTTTAGAGAATACTAAGCTCAGTATGAAACCCAAATCTTCATTTTTAAAACTTATTACAAACAAATCAGCAATAACAATAGGCCTGACCAGTGATCTCTAGCTGGGAGTTATGTTTGCACCAGCAGAAAAATTGAATCCAAGGTGACTCTGAGCTCAGCTGCACAGGAAACTTTCTCAGATAACAGGTACATACAAAGCATGAAATGTTTGTGGCAATAAACAAGAGAAATCTGAGATAAAGCTTGGAGAATATTGGGAAAAAATAACACGTGAGTCATGTAGCAATAAAGCAAAGATGTGTATGTTTGAGTCCTTGTCATTCTCCTGCTGCAGCTCCAGAATTAGCGTGTATATTTTTTGGTCACACGAGGCAAAACTAATAGGAAAGAAAGGGGTTAAAAATATTCTTGCTGGCAGCACAAGCGATCTTCCAGGGCTCCACTTGTCCTCTAACCTTTCTTCTCTATCCACTTTTCCCATTTAAGAAATCGTGATCCACATTACAAGAAGAGATTCCTTCTAATTCTTAGAGAACTTTATTTTTACTATTTTCTTGCCATAGCTGAGCCCTGCCTCTAAAAGTAGCAGCCTGCCTAGAGTGTTTCCCAGTAGGTGATGACTGATGACTGTGCTCTGGATTTTATCTCGATTGTTTCATGCTGCAGGTTTTTGCACATTAGGATTACAGGCCTAACTCTGGAAAAGCTCTTCCAGCTCTACAGGCCACTGGTGCCCTTTTTAGTTGGTTCTTACTTCAGCTGACTCAAAAATACAATTAATTTTGCTTCCTAGGAAGATATATTTTTGATTTGCTTTTGCTGGCACCTGAAGAAAAATTACATTAAGCCAAAGAATGGTAATAGAAAGAAGGGAACTCAACTTTTATCTCATTTTCAATAAGAGAACGTACCCACTTCAGGAGACAGACTAAGTGGCGTTAACCTTACTTCGCTCTCTTGGTCTTGTAGAGCTTTGATTCAGGCTTATGAAATTATCCTGCAGGGACAGAACTGTATTTACAGACTTCCATTTTTAATAAACTAAAATTTCACATCCTCTTCTATCATTCATGCCAGCAGCAGCCTGCGTGATTTCCAGCAGTCCAGTGAATGTAACACGTGTCTCAGCATAAGCTGAAAATCCACCCAAGAAGCAAATTACTGATCTCCATAATCCTGCAGCAAGACTGCTACTGGAACTTGGGGGAGTTTGTTTAAAGTCAGCTTGGCTGGAGCTCCTCTATTCTGCAGCAACTGCGATATCTGAAGTGTTCACTGAGGGAGAAAATAACTTCCCTGGCTGGCAGGAACATGCCTGCTCACATTTTACACAACAAAACGCAACAGGATATTTTCAAAGGCTGTTGGAAATAGTAGCAAACAGGGCAAAGTGAACAACAAACTAAACAATTGCCAGAATAAAACATTTCCCCAGCCAATTACTGGGAAGTTCAGTCTTAGTTGAAGCCTGGGAGAGAGGTCTCAGTTAATTCGGTTAAAAGTTCCATGTGAGAAAATCCTACAGATTTTCGTAGAAAACAAACTGAATTTGAACTTAATGCAAATTACTATGCACGGCTGAATGGAAAAAAAATGCAGCAGTAACAGAAAATTGTGTGATTCCTGTAGATGTTCTGTGGCAGCTGTGGTGTCTCTGTGCATCAGAGACCTTCCATTCTCCAGATATTCCAAACCTGTCAGAGAGCTGTGCTGAGCCTGTGTCAGCCCTGCTTAACTCCACAGGTTGGATTAAGCCAAGGAATGGAATAAGGAGTGCTACTCCCTGTTGGTTCTGTTGAAATGGCTGTTTGTTGACAAGTGCCTACAAAACCAGGTGCAGACATCCAAGGTGATAGTTATTTGCCACAGCCTCTGCAATCCTTTCTGTGGGTCCCTGAATCAATCCAAGCCCAAATGAAACCAGAAGACCTGTGCCACTGCATTTCCTGACTTTCCAGGAGCCCTAGAAGGCAAATCAGCACCATTTGGAGCTTTTTCTCATTGTTACTAGTTCCTGGGTCCTTTTCATGGGCTCTTTTGTGAATCAAACTGTTTGCTTTTCATCTGTGGAATTTCTTACTAGATGTTATTTTTAAATGAGGCTTTGGTTTCTCACATGCCTCATGGAAATATAGGCAAACGTGAAAAGCATCTACTGGAAAAATCTCCATACTTCAGCAGGCCCAGAGGATTTAATAATCAGCATGAGATTTTCTTCCTCTCATTTACTGACTCTTTTGTTTTTAAAAAAACAGTCCTAATACTAAACAAACAAACAGAAAGCCCCAGTTGCTTCTCTTTCTCAGTGCTTATTTTTGGATGACCTCCAGAATCATCTTTTGACTGTGGTTGCTGACATCCTGGGCTAAGGCTGCATTCAGTAGCCTCAATATTAATAGAGGGGCTTTGGGGATTTTTTAAATTTTATCTATTTACTTTTTAACAGGGAGGAGTCAGCATTCTGGCTTTGTTGTTCTGGGGATTTTTAAACAGACAAAGCAGCAGAATGGAAATGGAAAATTAAGGACTGATTCATTGACTCCAACGATATCTCCAGAAAGATGCCAGTCATTTGTTGTGGTGAGAAGGAGAAAAACCTTCTGGTAAAAATCAGAAAAAAATTAAAGTTGCAATCCTTTCCTATAAGAACTCTTAGAGTTTAGCACCTTCAAATTATTACATATGAGTATAACACTCTCCTCAAACTTCAGGTTGGCTGAACGTTTCCAAATAAACAAGTTCCTGCTTCATTTCCCCTTGCTGATGCACTTAGGAGTAGAAAGCTGGCCCAGGACACGGCCCATTGCAGGTTTATTCAGCCCCTAAGTCATGGTGCACTGGACACACAGACTGCAGCTCTTATTCCTTCCCCCACCCAGCAGCAGGACCTGGGGAGAAGTGGGCACTTCCACGCTCCCTGGCCAGCAGCAAGACTTTGTAACTCACTTCTGTTCCCACCTACACGGAGCAAAGCATTTTTTGCCATTCAACAAAAAGAAAATGGGATGGCTTGGGTGAAAGTTAAAGCCTTGCATCAGCCTGACATGGACCACTGGTCCCTGACAGCTGTTCACACCACATCTGCTTTGCTCATCTGCTGGCCCAGGGCCAGCGGTGGTTGCAGGGGAAGACTTTTAAGCAAGAGTAGGAAAGGATCAAGTGCTGTCCTTGGAAGAACTGAAAAAAAGAAAAAAATTTAGGCCAAAATTAGTAGTATGTGAAGAAAGGAAAAGCTGGCTGATCATCTGGGTCAGCTGCAGTAAGATTCAATAGACAAGTTAAATCAGGAGCTTAATCAATTTATTTAATGAAAGAAAGGTTCGGTGCGGTAAGAGCCAAGGTGAAAAACTCCCTAAGAGGAGTGAAAGATGGAAGAGCAAGAAGAAGAAGGTATGATGCCTTCAAACCAATCCTGGCAGCATTTCTTTTGGGGAGTTTGAGCTCTCTGGAAGCAAACCACAAATGCTCTGAAAAATAAATGAATTTCAGGAGAGAAAATCTCCACCTCAAAGCTCGGACGCACTCTATAGAGAGCCTTACCCTTTGTGAGTGTTCCTGGAACTGGTGATGTGGCTGAAGGCTCCTACAGTCAGGATCAAAGGAAACCCAAATGTACTTCACTGACAGTAACTCTTAACTGCAGTCTCAGTGCTCTGGGATAGACCAGGAAGTGTGCAGAGAACTTTAATGCTCACGGATACTTGGTGCAGGAAGCAGGACCGGCACTTCTAGAGTTAAATCCATATATTCTACTGCTGCATCTGGGATTAAATGCTGACAGTTCCCTTTGGTTTACATTACTGAACTGGATAAGATAAAATTAAAGTCCAAACAAACAAAAGCAGTCTTTTTTTTAAAAAAAAAAAGAGATAGTTTTATAGTGGAAGATAATGACTGGCAGCTAATAGAAGTTTAAAGCATCAGCGTGGTTGGAAACAGTATTACATGAAGTGATCCTAAGACTGCAACTTACCTCTTCCCTGTGATTCTTTATTGGCATACAGAGAATGCTCTGAGTCTTATACCCTGTGATCTGGTCAACTTCTGCATTGAATCTTGGATCCTGAAAAAAATACAATTATTAGACTGCTTGATGAAATATCACTTCTTTTTCTTCCTTGGTTTAAAGGTTAAGAAAAGCAGAATATTACCCAGGATAACACAAGTTCCATTACTAGGTAATAATTATATGAAGTTGTTATTCTCAGGGTGTTAAAACAAAAACCATGAAGAACAACAACAAACCCACCCCCCCCAAATCCTAGGAGAAGTCTTTTTTTGCACCTAGACCATCATTATCATGAACATGTACACAGACCAACCATCCCTGGTGGAGCTTTTATCATCAAGAAGAGGTTACAGAAATACACTGAAAGACACATGGCCACAGAGGAACGAAGTTTCATGACTGTGGTCAGTGGTTTTGCTTTTATCAGAGATTGCTTGTTTCATATTTTTCACCTCAATATTGTTACAAAACTCTGGTTCTTTCAGTCATAGCGCCCTGTGTCTGTGCACACATGTATCTACAGCACAGGTATTATAACCAAAACCACGGGGTGGGCTTTGCACCTTCGCCAGTTTAAGTGAACACAGGTCCAAATACAGGTACTGAAGTGGCAATATTTCAACAGCTGATCATAAGGCACCTTCTTTTTTTGGAGAATTGCTCAGGAGAAGTTTCCTCGACTCACCTCATAGGCGTTCTTGATGTTCAGAGGTTGGCCTATGGCTGCCACATGCCCCACGATGCCCTTGTTCCACTCCAGGCGGATGCAGTTGTTGGAAGCTTCTTCCAGGGTGGAGCCTTCTGCCACATCAAACAGCCTGCTGACGAGGAACTTCTCATTGGAGCTGTCCTCACAGACCAGGAACAGGGAATAGCGGTCCGCTGCTATCAGCTCGTGGATATGCAGGAAGATCTTATGGCACAGCGCCGTGACATCCAAGTGACTGGAAATGTCTTTTACAAGTTCTAATAGTCTTGAGCACTGATCCCCTGCACTGGTCTCAATCCTCGGAGATGGCAGAGGCATCTGTTCCTTCTTTTCAGAGCCTGAGAGGAAGCTCACTGCTCCTACCGAGTCCGTGACAAAAATAGGCCTTAGGGGTCTGTCGAATTCCGAAGCAGAGATTTTCCTCGCCGGTGTCCCAGGGCTGGTGGTCTCGGCACAGGTAGGTTGGTGACAAGCACAGGATTCGCTCTGGGACTTGGTTCCCTCCTTGCAGACTGGGATGGTGTGAACTCTCTCAGCAAACCATGCATTAACCATTTCTCTGTCAAACAAAAATCCAAATACAGTGAGCGATGTGAACGGGAAACCCTCGGGCACTAACACATATTGGAAGCTGATGCTGCAAAGAGGAGAACTTGAAACCTTTTCACCCAGAGGACACCGATGCACCTTTAGGCTCCTCTGTATCAATGCTTTCCAATTTTATGAAGCACTCAGCCCAGATTAAGCAGTAACATTTTATGCCCCATAAAAAAGAAGCTATTTCTGCCTAAAGGAAATACCTGGGTAGGGCAGAGGGAGACCACTTACGCTGCGCCTTTCAGAATACAGATCAGAAGTTTACACCATCATTTTGTGCTTGAAAAGTTCCAGTCCTTCCCATTCCTAAGATCTGGATTTCTGTATAAGATGTATATACAATTTGTATGAAGACAAAACCTTCTGCTTTAATTCTGTTTTTCAGACCATTTCTGACCTCTAAAAAGATAATTCTGAACTTCAATTCCCTCTGTCAAATCACCTGCCGCCCCTCCTATTTTTATGTCACCGATCTTCTATTTTTAAGTTAACTTCCTCTGCTCTCTGAGTTAATGAAAAATGCTGGTTTGACTCAAAGCATAGAAGTTTTGCTTAAAAACTGTCATAAAGAAACATGAATGTTTCTATTTCAGCCCCCTTCAAAATAATGAAAGGACAGACTGTTTTCAAACATCTTTCCTATTTCCTTTCCTTGCAGATGAAACTCATTGTCTAACTCAACCCAAAATACTGAATAACCCTAAAATTGTATTTTTTAAGAGTTCATCACCAATTAAAAAAATGTCATGCATCTCTAGTATTTAACCGTATTTCTCAAATTAATTAGCACTAGGAAGCCAACCCTAATAATGTCCTCACTAAATACAGCATGTCTTCCATTGGGCACAAGCACACATATCATCAATAACAGGAGGATACTTTTTCTTATCACCATAATATTTTCTTGTCCAAAATTGGGTTTGTTTGTTTGGGGGTTTGTTTGTTTGTTTGTTTGTTTTGGCTGGTTTTTTTTTTAAATGCAGGGCTTTTTATTTGGTTTGCTCAGTGCCGAGGATCCCTCACAGCCCATGCCCTACTCTTAGAAGTAACGATCTTTTTGCTGCATTACATAACATACAGGCCTGTGAACAGCAAAAAAAATCCCTGTTAGAAGTCTGATCTTTTGGAAACCTTTCCTGGTGGTCATGTTTTAAATTTGGGATATTTTTTATTTGCTCAGCAGCCCACAGGAATTCTGAGAGTGGAGCTGAATGAAGCCATGGAGATGAGTCAGGTTAGTCACCCGCTGATCGGTTACATGCCCCAGTGTACTTCAAATATGCCCTTTTTTTTCTTCTGTTGGGGAGGTTTGAAAGAGTTTTCCAGATTTTGCAATCACATGTCATTTGGAGACCTCAACTGCAGGCAAACTTGCTATAAAACATTGAATTATTAAAACTACCAATGACCCGTATTATAGCAGTGATACCTATTTTTTGTGGAGTTACCTCATCCAAATGCTTCTTGTAGTGAAGCAGCATAAAGAACAATTAATTTATTATTAGAACTTTAACAGTATTACTTTACAGTACTTAAAGAGGATAAATGGGAGTCGTGACCATGCATTACTGAAACACATAATACGATTTGCATAGGACAATGTTACATTTGCAAAAGCTGTTTCAGTGAGAGTCCAAATAACAAGCTGGCATTTGGTAACATTTGGAATTTTCATTTATTGGACTGAATAAGAAAGAACAAAAATTTGGGATGAAAATGACCAAAAATATCCTTAAGGAAAATAAAAAGCTTAAGATGCAAAAAAATTTGTAAGTAAATGGAGTACAACCTCTACAATCAGTACTGGTAACTCCTGTCACCCTGTGTGTTATATGTGGGTTCTTTTTGTTTTACTCTGAATTTCCTCAAAAAAATAAATTACCTGGAAAATTTTAGCTTTTTCTAAACAAAATTATCATCTAGCACTAAGGCTGCAGAAGAGAACCTGAAAATGCCAGGTGGGTGGATTTAAACCTGAGACACAAGAAGGTAGGTGCAGAATAATCAGTAGTTTTAAAGAAGTGCCTTGACCTAGATTCACAATTGTACAGTTGTTGGGTGAGAGCAATTTGCAGAGCAATCTGATTCACTGCTTATTTCCTCATGAGTAAAGGAGAATATAAAATGCTGTCATTTCACCTACTTCTGGTTTACACTGAATTTACATATGTGGACAAGTTGATACAAAATGCAAGGGCAGAGAAAGAATCTGGCACCCTTTGTGGACAAAGCAAAAGCTACAGGAAAAGTTTGATTTATCAGTTGAAACCTGTCATTTTATTTATTCTGGAGTGTTGTATAATGATGTCCCCTGGCCTGTAGCAGTAGCAATCAGTACTCTGAATTCTAATACCTGTTCTCAAACTGTGGCCATGAAATTATTTAGTTTCTACCATTTTGCCTTTTTACTGCGTAAAATAAGCTTTCATTTCTCTGTCTCGTGGAGGTTACCGAGGGATGTGGAACATAACTGTAAAACCTTTCACATGAAAGGAATTACATTTAGCAGGAACTGACTACTTGTTGGGTATCTGCACTGTTTATGAAGCGCTGCAGCATTGAACAGAACTATATGTGGAGCTGCATAAATATGAGTAACTTATTCCTGTCCTTTAATGTCTCTTAGATGATGGTTCAGTAACTTGCCAACAAGGTGCGTGATTCTCAGAAAGCTCCTTAAGTTAACAACAACAGCAACAAATCCTTAACTAAACTGTTTAAAGCATGCTTTGGAACTTCAAACCATTTAAGCATTTTTATTTGGGCAACAGGAAAGCCATTCAAATTAGCTGGAAAAAGAACAGTGTTCGCTGACCTTTACTGAATGCCTCTTCTAACAAGGAAACTATTTAGCTCCTTTTACTCACCCAGTTACACACACGGGTGGAAGAACTGGCACTTCTCATTAGCTGACGTATTCTAACTCTATTTAAAATCTATCAGGCAAAGTCCTGACATGCATTTGCTTGTTGACACTCAATCCTATTTAACAATGCCTGACAAGAGGAGTATTATGACTAACAGGAGTACTCTCACAGCACAGAATCGACTCAACAGATAGCTGATACCAGACACTAACTGAACCACAAGTGAGGTTACTGGAAATTAGTAACAAGTGCTATGTAGGATTAAGATGTCGTTTTTAAAGGGCTACAGGAAGAAATAAACACTTGTGACTAGTCTATTCATATGAATAGTTTGCATTAGGCATTGGCATTGTCAAGAGACGATTGTTAAGTACAAGAGCCTTGCTGTAGTTTAGAAGGTGCAGGAGCAGATTCTGATCCATGCAGACAGTTAAAATCAGTGCAATGTCTCTATCCCAGCACAGCAATCACTGCCCGTTGAGGAGTTACAGCATCCATTCCTCATGACCTGGATGCATCCTTTACTGCAGTATGAGCCTTCACTCAGGAGAGCTGTGATTTATCCCAGAGTTCATAAATAGCAATTTTTTAGTCACTTCTATCAGCCAAACCCAGTCTTTCCTCTATAAAGCACAGGACAGTAGTGACTGCTGAATTTGGCTGGTGACTCCATCAGCAGGTGACAAAACTGGAGAAGAATTTTGGAGAGATGGGGATGGGAAGGGGATGAAAATACAATGGCAGGCAAAATATTTGAAGGAAAAAAGAAAAAAAGATTGCGTGATCCTCCCCTCTCTCATTGCTTATGTACAAATACACATTATCTGCAGTACATGAGGACTTGGGAACTTCAGAGGAATTCTTTGGCCCTGATTTGTTAAATGCTGTATAGGAAGTCCTATAAAGCAAGAAGTTTTCAATATGAATAGGCAACAAAAATAGATCACTTGGTAAGAAAACACAGGCACAAGGATGTGACATGGCTTGAGCCAGGTCATGCAGGAGGGCACAAGTAGAGCTGAGGACACCCTCAGGTCTAAGACCTGAGGAGAACCTTGCTGTATTTCCTGGGCCTGTGTGTTAAACCATGCTGACACAACACTAATCACTATTCTATTCATACACTGGGAATATTAAATGATTTACTGTACCCATCTTCATTGTGATTATCTTCAAAATACACAGTAGACTTCTCATAAAAAAACCCAACCCAGTGAAGATGTTTAAATATTAACAGCCAGATTATGATTGTCTTGCTCACATATATAACCACACTGCATATGTAAGACAGTACCAACATGACCATTCAGCAACTGTTTGGTATCTTTGGACAAAATGGGCAAAAACCAGAATGCAAAACTAATACCAAGATGCAACAATGACAGTAAACTGCATCTTGCTTGTCTTGCACAAAGAATGCTTAATAATCACAGTACCATAACAGAACCGATTGATAAGTAGCTTTCAGTGAAACAACTAATAATTCCCCATTTTCTCTGTTGCTCATGAATCTTTCATATATACCATGTTTAATGTTTCAGTAGTTGTGTGGCCTGTTTTGGTAATTTTTCACTCAAACCAGCAGTTGCTGATAACACACTTCAGGAGAAGGATTCCAAACTTGCCTACTAGAAAATGCCAGCTTTCAAGTATCTGAATTCCTGGGGCCTAATCGTGCTAGTGTTGAAACCATCTATATTTCAAGCTAAGCTTCATAACTATTTTCTCAATTGCCTTCCTTAATATAACCACTAGATGTCTTCAAATTTCTCTCCCGCATCCTGGCATAATTTAAACATGGAGATCATTTAAAGCATTAGCAATAACTCAAAGCCTATTCAGTTTTAACAAATGAATTTGGAATTCAAAGCTACTAGGAGGTTACACTTGCCTTCCCACTTGCTATTTCACCGTCATGTTCTAAGTGGGTTTTTGCCTTTTCTGGCCATAGAAAAGAGGCCTCGTTAGATGGAAAGAGCAAACTGACCGTAAAAGAAGTGTTTGCAAACTGACTGAAAGAGTAGCTTGACAAAAACAATAGTTGTTTTTCCTTAAACCCTTTTCTATTACAGTTAGTGGAGATGCCATTTCTCGCAGTGGTAGGCAAGCAGTTTTTCAGGATGAAGTATGACTTCAAGCGAGTGCCAATTTTATAGCACATCTCAGTCCAATACATTAGCATACATTTAACATTAAACGTTTCAAGTGGCACAAATGACTTCTGTCGGAATACAGATCTAAATTAAGGACTCTAATTCTTGGTTCAAACCATGCTCATAAAAGACTGAATTAACCTTTCAGAACTATGAAATTTCGATCTTGTCTGAATGCGCATTTTTTAAAATAGGAGCCAGAGGTTGCTTTATTATCTGTAAAAAACGTATTCAAAGTGGAGAACTAACTCTAACTGGCTGTTCTTGGCTATTTTCAAGTTTTCTTTAACAACCAAACTGCAAGCTTAACTTTTTATAAGAAAGCTTTCTTCCACAGAAGGGACCTTCTAGTCACACTCTAAGGGAAGACAGAATAAATCCTCTGGGACTGAAGGTCAGATTCTAAGACCTGACCTTTATTTCTTGTTCCAAACTCAAAATTTTAAAAATAATTATGTACATAATGATTTTATTGTGGAAAGCCACAGGACAATACCAGTAATTTTGGTGAAAGATGGATTAAGACTTAAGTTCACACCTACCTGGAGACCTCAGGCCCACTAAATTCCTAAAACAGGGGTTTAGTAGGACTTAAGTGGTGCAGAGGCTTAAGGATGGCTCTCTGTGCTGGGATGAGTTCACCATAATGCACAAATAAATGGGAAAAATATACATCTTTTACTAAGCAAATATATTTAGTGGCTGTATTTTCAGTGCCAGACCTGATGTGAAATTACAACCATTGAGTTCTCCACAAGGGCCGTTTGAGTAGGGCTTCTTTTCTGGCACTTCATAAATAGCTCATTTTCTATTTAATTCCCTTTTTTTTTTATATTGTTTTCTTCGAGTCAATCACATAAATGAGAAAGCATTCCATATAAATTTAAGTATGTTTCTTTGCCAGTGGGGAAGAGAATTACTTTTATACTGTGGTTTTGTTAACTGCATTTTTTCATGGCAGAAGCAAAATGCTTCCGCTTTAACAGTGAAAATGAAAACAGGTGGTAAAATATTAGTTCAAGTCAGGAATGTATTGCCTGGAATTCCTTTGTTTGTAATCCTTGATCTCAGCCATGTATTCCCGCACAATTCAGCTTTAATTCAGCATAAACATAGGCTGTGATGAACTTTATTGGGTCTGAAGACATCACAGGTGATTTATCATGAATATAATATGATAGTAAAGTTACCCCGAAACAAAGGAAGGCAGAAAG